CGCTTCTTGCTTGGGGGGGAAGCCCTCCTAGTTCTCAAAGCCCTTTGCTCCAGAGAGTTCCAGGTAAGCCGTTGGCCTGGGAGGACCTAGAGTCATGGTTTCTCAGCCTGACCGCTGGCTCCTCCCGCAGCTCCAGTTGAGCCCTGAGGCCAGGTCACCTGCCCTTTCTCTGCCCTGCCCTCTCTAGCCAGCAGTCTCTCTCTTGCTCCTTCCCTTCTTGGCCAGGACGCCCAGACCGGCCGGCCTACCGCTGTTCCCAAACCTGTCCTGGCCACACACAGCCACTCTGTCCCCCGCCCACTGCGTCTCTGAGAAGGCAGAAGGAAGCCCCCTGGGAGGCTGTGTCTACCCAGTGCCAGGCAGCACCAAGCTTGTAGGACCCTTCGAGAATGCCTGGCCCCACCCCGACTCCTGAGGGTGGCCCAGTGCCCTGTGACCGGGCAGCAGGGATCTCAGCTGGCACATCAGCCCCAGCAACCCTGGGCTTCCCAGAAATGCAGGTGGCTGGGCGCTGAGCTGGCTTCCCCAGTGCTCCGCTGCCCTCATCAAGACCCCCGCAGCAGTCATCTCCTGCGTGAAGCCCTCCCAAGCCCCCCACCCCCGCCCTGCACACCCCCGTTCCACCTTCTGTGCCCGTATTCGTCCTCGTGCCCTGTGTGCCCATGAACAGTGCCCTGCCCCGTCCCCTGGCTTGCCCAGGCGGCAGGAAGGGACAGGGCAGGAACCCACTCCCCAAGTTTCTCATCTGCTCAGGCTGTCTTTGGGTGCCGCTACACTCCCTCAGGTGGTACTGGAAGTCTTTCAGGTGAGTATTTTAAACCGAGAGATAACAGAGTGCCTGAAAGTGTCCCGTCTTGGGAGCATTGCTTGGGGGCTGGGTGTGCGACTCTTGTCTCTTTTTTCCGGCATCTATTTGACACATGTGGAAATTAGGTGCCAGAGGCCGAGCAGCTGAGCCCAACCAGCGTGAGCTGAGGCCCGGCTCGGCCTCCCCTCTCAGTCTGTAACCAGCACCCCTCTCTCCCTTCAGCTGCTCAAGGGTGCTGTGTTTTGGTTTTTCCCCACGGTGGTGAAATACACACGCGTATTTACACAACAGGGTGGAGTAACCACTTTAAGTCTACGGGCCGGTGGCATCAGGTACATCTTTTGGGTATTCTTTACACGGAGGTAAGGCGGGCAATACCTTGTTGGGGTAAAATCAAGTGAATGACGGAGCAGCTGCTACGGCAGAAAGTGAAAGTGCCCCCGACCTCAGTGTCTTCCTCTGAAGGAGCCGCTGTTTTCAGTTTTGTATCCCTGCAGGCCTGGTTCGTGTGCAGCCTGCTCTTGAACAGGCTGGTTTTCAGTTGACAGTTTTGGTTTTTAACCGTAAATGGCGTCCTGGAGTCTTTGATTGGCTGTGGCTCCACGTAGCCTGTGTCCACGTCTTTCTAGGGGGTGGAAGGTGTTCTTTCGACATCCGGGCTTCCTTCACTCCGTGTGCGGCTCGCGTGGCCCTCGCGAGCCCATCCTTCCCCTCGCCCCTTGCTCCTGCTCCTGTAGCTGTTCGTGAGGAGTCTGCTCTTGGACCTCGCAGCCCCTGAAGGCCTTGATCATGAATGGCCCCTGGGGAGTCACCTTCTCAGTAGTTAGCTTGTAAGCAAGGGCCACAGGCTGGGGCTAAGAGGCGAAGGCTGGTGGAGTGTCCCGAGAAGCCACAGTCGCAGCAGATCTCTGCAGAGCTCTCAGCCACCCAGGCCTTTGCTGACCTTCAGGGCTCCTGACCCAGAGCCAGGTTGACGTCCAGCCTCAGAGCCCTCAGCCCCTTCCTGCTCCCCTTCTTGGGTTCCTGGCAGAATTAGCGCAGTCGGAGGGTGGACCCGAATCTCCACGCTCCTCCTTCAGCCCGGGCTCCGGGTGCCTGGGACATGAGCCCCCGGTAAAGCCCACGTCTGTGGCCTTTGGGGACATGGGCCTTCTTTTAGAATGTTTCCCTCTGAGACGTGCGTGGAGTTTTCATTACCCACAGGCCTTTTGGTTTGGGGACGCTGAAGTGGGCTTTTCTCATTTATTTTTGTTACTTTCATGGAGCCTGTTCGTGCCTTTCTGCCCCCACCCCCCCCACCCCCAATCCAAGCAGGAAAAAATATAAAAATATGAGAAACTGCCAGTGCTGGTGGGGCATACAGGGCCAGTCGCCTTCCCCAGGGAGATGGTAGCTCGACTCCTGCAGCTTTCCTGGCGAGTGGGGTCTGGCCCTCCTGGAGCCTTGGAAAGCTTTCCCTGGGCCCCGCCAGGCCTCCGGTCACCTCGCCCTGCTTCCGTCCCCATCCTCCAGTATAAGACGCCTCTTCTCACCATCTTGACCCCCAAGCTCTGGCCGACCATCTTGCCGACCTCCCCTGCATGGACATTTAGGTTATTTCCCGCTGTTGACTGGGTGGTTGCATTTCAAAGGTTTGAAATTTCCCAGCAAGCTTGCTCCGCCCCCCTCCCCTCCCCACACTCCCCACCCCAGCCCACAGCACCTTATCAAGAAAAGTGGATCCCTTTGGAAAGTTCTGAAATTCATTTTTACAGTTGATTTATTTTTATTATTATTATTTTTTTATGGATTTCATCCCATAGACAGTAGGAATTTATTAGAGACCTCCCTGGGGAAGTGACATTCCAGTATATGCGTGGGGAAGATGGATCCGACATCCGTGTGCTGATGGGCAGTGCTTTCTCTCACAACGAGGGTGGATGTGAGAAAGACTGTGGGCACTTGAACAGCGTGGAGGCCAGAACAGTGGGAGTGAGGGGCCCTCCGAGGGGCAGATTCTGAGCCTGGCAGGACAGCAGGCGCTTGAATGCCGTGTTCAAGGGCACCGGAGCTTCATGTGGTCAGGGGAAGGAGAACTTTATTTCTATGGTTTGGTCTAGTTCCAGAGGCCTGAGATTGTTTGCTTCACATTTAGACAAGGCATCTGAGGCTCACGGAGGCCCCATCACCCTGCAGGGTTCATCTGGGGTTCACCAGGCCCAAACCCCATGCTTGGTTCCACTTCCCTCGCGCAGGGTCTTTACAGCCCTTGGACCTCTGAGTCCAGAGGGAGTTCAGGCGCAGCTCGCCTCCTCCGCGTGGCCTATGCTCCCAGCCGCTGACGGGGCGCCGGGCTGCCCGCGCTGGGTGGTAGCGTTCTGTGCGGGACCTTGCTGACGGTGTCACGCTTGGAAACCCATGGGGGTGAGTGGTGGTGGGAGGAAGCAGCTGCTTCACTGCAGGACCTTCACTTCCCAGGCCGGGACCCTCCAGGGAGAGACGGGGTTCATCACACTGCTCCTCAGCGGCCCTGCGTCTGCATCTGCCGGGGTGCACCGGGCGGTGCCCTGCACTGGGCTTTTGCTCATCGGCGTCGGGAATGAGCCATCGGGCTTTCCTGGACAGCAGAACTGTGTCTCAATTTTGCTGTCATTTTTGTGGGTGACTAATCCAAAGGTAAATAAAAATTAACGTTTGGATTTGGAAGCTAACTTAACTTTCAATTAATTTTTGTCTTGAGCACTATTGAATTTAATCTGTGTTCCTGGAGAACGTTCCAGTTTTTGGCAAGCGGGGGCAGAGGGCAGTTGCCGGCTATTTGGGATAAATTCAGAAGATAGAAAATTCTCATCTATCATGATCATGGCAAAGCTTTTTTTTTTTTCTTTTAATGACAAAACTTTATCTGAACACCTAGGCTCTGGAAAGAAACCCCTCTGCCGAACGCTGCCCCTAACAAATCAAGTTTGCCTGTCGCTGTTCCTTTCTAAACCCGGCCGTCAGCGTGTGAGTGTAGAGGGCTGCGGGGTGCGAGCCGCTGGTGAAGCGCCGTAAGTCTGTTAGTCTAGGACGAGTCGGACTTGGGGCCTGGGCGAGCTTCGCTTCAGTCTGCGGTAGCACAGCGGGCTGTGTGGCACTGGGCCCAGGCACTTAACCCTCGACCGCATCAGGCGCAAGGACTGAGACACAGCCGTGTTTCACAGGATGAGTCTACTGACCACTGGGGACAGCGGCCTTTTCATTCCTCTTCAAGTCCTTTCACTTTTTCGGGCAAAAACTCCTCCCTTTGGGGTGAGCTGACCTTTACCTCAGGCTTGCTAGATCCCCCTCTCATAGAGAGCCAGCACTTGGCCACTCTCTGTGTATCTTGCTTTTTCTTTTCTGTTGCTTTTTTTTTTTTTTTAAGATTTATTTATTTGTGCATACAGAACTGGGGTACAGGCCAGAGGTGCGGGGGCGGTGAGAAGATTCACCAGAGACAGAATAGGGAGCAGAATAGGCAGATCGACGAAGTACACTGCTGAGGGGAGAAGAGCGGGGGGGGGGGGTCAGGAGAGGTCTGCCGTGCCGTGGGGGTCATCTCCGGGGCGGGGATCGAACTCATGTGGAAGTGGCTTTAGCTTCTCAGTGCTGTGCTCTAACCCACTGCACCACCAGAGAGGTATTTCATTTCCCAGGGTGATCGTTTCTTTTAAAAATAATTTCATTAGAAGTTAATGATTAAACACCAGACATACATTGTACAGACTGTACATGAGTTTGAATCGCAGCTCTGCTGCCTCCTGGGCTGTGCAGCCCAGGGCACGTCGCTCAGCGTTCCTGAGTTGCGCTCTCCCGTCCTGCGGAGCAAGGCTAGCGGCGCACCATCCACAGAGATGGTGTTGAGAATGAGTGAGGCAGTACAGTCAGACCCCTCAAGCTGGCATCCTGCACGTCCACGGTGCCATCACCACGGTCACCGACCCGTGGCTAGCAGGTTGCTGGTGCTGGTAACGAGCAGTTTCTGACTTTGTATGATGGGCAGGGAATGGGAGCTGCTGGTGGCCTGAGTATTCAGTAACGATGATAATGTTAATGCGAGTCATAGTAATACACTTGGGATCGCTTTTGCCACATTAGAAATGACTGTCTCGGGGCAGAGACTCTCAGGCATGTGGGTGGGGCCCAGTGAGATCCCGGTGTTCAAAGTGCTCTCTTGGTTCTGCTCTCCTAGGCCAAGCCCAGCATCCGGTGCTTCATTAAACCCACCGAGACGCTGGAGCGATCCCTCGAGATGAACAAGCAGAAGGGCAAGAGGCGGGTGCAAAAGAGACCCAACTACAAAAATGTTGGGGAGGAAGAAGATGAAGAGAAAGGGCCCCCTGAAGATGCCCAAGAAGATGCCGAGAAGGCCAAAGGCCCAGAGGCTGGCTCTAAGGGCGCCAGGGCGAGTGTGGAGAATGAAGGTGAGTGCGCCCGCCAGCACCCGTCACCGGCTGCGAGCCAGGCTGTCACTTGAGTCTGGTGCTCCCATCCCGTGTGGCCAAGGGAGCTCCCTTCATTGCTGACACCAGGGCACCTCGCTGTCTGGCCACCGGGAGGCCACTGTGGGCACAGCCGGCCCAGGCCCCTCCCACCACCCTGCACTGGATGGGGAGCCTGAGCCAGGTTCTGTACTTCGAGCCCTGCGCCTCAGTTTCCTCATCTGTGAACCGATGAGGATGCAGGATCTTCTTTGTTTTACAAGAATTAGGCGAATTAGCATCTGCAGTGCGTTCAGAGAGCACCCGGCTGCTGCTCGTATTACCGTCGTCTTTGTCATTGACGCTGTTCTCGTTGCTCCTGATGACCTGGGTTATGATGTGGCAGCAGTCGTTATTTCCAGTTCTGTAGAAAGAAAAGGCCGTGTCGAGTGAAATTCTATGCTTTCAGTCAGATTATTATTTTTGCATCAAATAATCAAACATTATCTGTTTCTTATCTTCAGATTTTTTACACAAGAGTGAAGTATAGTTGTGTGCCACATGTATACTCTCAGTAAGCAGAATCACCCCCCTCCCCCCTCTTTTTTGCCCCTGTCAGGAATAATTCTGGTTTATTTTTCACCATCCTCTCATTTAGAAGCTAAAACCTCAGTCTCTGCTCTGGGATTAACCAGGCGTGAACTGTACAGTTCTGTGGCCAGGCCCAGCACACAGCTGCACAGACCGGGACTCCGGCCATGGCCCCGGCCTTGAGCTTGGGGCAGGTGGGGCCGTGCTCACTGGTGCTGAGCGCTCCCCCCAACCTCCTGACACAGGCTTCGGGTGTGGGACACTTCCTGCCGGGCATCCTCCTAGGCCCTGGGCCAGGGTTGGGGTTCTCCCCAGCCCCTTCAGCCTGGAGCACCCCAGCCTGGGTCATCTGAGCAACTTTCCAAATCAGAGACTAGGACTCCCCCCTGGGAGGCGTTAGCAGTGAGTGGCTGTGCAGCCACAACACTCACGGAGGCCAGCCCCGCCAGCCCCTCCCCCGCCCAGCTCTGAGTCCTCCGTGAAAGCCGCCATCCCAGCTGGGGCCGCTTCTTCAGAGCGTCTCTGGGGCCATCGGCCCTCTTTTTAAAGCTGAAGTCTCCAGCCTGCTTGTCTTTCTTCAAAGTGTACAGTGACCATTTTGGTTTAGGAATTCTTTCTCAGTTCAGGAAACTCCCTTGGCCTACAAATATCACTTTGGTGGAAAGGCGAGGGACAGACGCTGGGTAAGCCATGCTTGTATGCAGATTTGAGTCTTTCTGATTTTCATTTTTTTTAAAGGTTTATTTATTTGTGCATACAGAGCTGGGGTACAGGCCAGAGGCTCAGGAGCGGCGAGAGGCTTCACCAGAGACAGAGTGGGGAACAGAACAGGCAGATCGACGAAATACACTGCTGAGGGGAGCAGCGGGTGGGTCAGGAGAGGTCTGCCACACCATGTGGTCACCTCCGGGGCGGGCAGGAATCGAACTCATGCAGAAGCGGCTTCAGATTCTCAGTGCTGTGCTTTAACCCGCTGCGCCACCAGGGAGTGCCTCTGATTTTCATTTTTAAGTCAAGAGAAAATTGTTTTAACTCAAAAGTTTTGCTGTCCTGTGGCCACGTTGGGGTGAAAGGGGAGATTTCACCCCATGTTGTACAATGTGTTCTCATCGATTTTGTTTTGGAACCAGTCTACCTCTTCGGTTCCAGTCCTTTTAAGGGATCTCTCTGCAGGCCGGGCCATGACTCACCGTGTAATGGACAGGCGGGCTTGGCCCCCACACGCCACCAGATGAGTCAGTGAGGGGCTCCTCTGGCCAGCAGAACCGCTGCCATGGCCAGTTTGGACGGGGCTCCCGGGCACCGACCCCATCTGCCCACCTGTCCTGCTCGCCAGGCTCTGGCAGTGGGTTTCCAGCCCTGTTCCGTGGTCACGCTGTCAGACGGGCTCTGGACCTGGCTTGGAGGCCGGTGGCAGGACTTGGCTCAGTGGGGTTCTTGTGGTCCCCTGGCCACTTGGGCATCCTCCTATTTTCTCATTCCAAAATACCATGGCGCTGTCTTCCCACCCAGCTTACCCCAAAATGAGCACTGTCTTCCCAGGCCCGCCCTGCACAGAGCTGCCTAATGGGCGGCAGCGGCAGCTGTGTTCTAGAGCTTTCTGGATCATATTTGTGATCACTTTGTTATTCTCATACTTGCAGGCGCAGCTGGTGGGTGTTCTCTCCTTAGATGGCATCCACGTTTGGGCGAAACCTCACAGCTGTTAATTGCTAGGACTTGGAAGACGTCAGGCAGTTTTCTCATTCAGTTTTGATGCAGTAGACGGCGGTGGGGGTGGGGCGGCATCACCTCGAGGACTGGAGGGCTGGCTCACTGCCTGACTCCAAGTCCAGGTTTAGTGTGCGCCGGGATGGCCTCAAGGTTCCAGACCTCGACTTCCCCAGCTGCAAAGCAGTATAGAGAGTGCGATTCACATGCACCTCGTTTCTTCAGATGTTTGGATCCTTAGAGCTGTGTGATTTAGAAATTCAGCTCAGATTGGCTTAAAGAACAAGAATATTGTTCATGCCACTGGGGAGCTTGGGTGGGGCGAAGACCGCAGGCAGCTCCAGGCTGCCAGCGCCCCCCACATGGAGAGGGAACACTCTTCCCACTGCCTGCCGCAAGGCCCGGCGGCTAAGGGGCCTGGCTCGCCTGGCCTGTAGTGGAGGTGTGTGCTGTAGGCCAGGCCTGGGCCGAGCATCCACCCTGCTGTGACTCCTGCAGTACAAACGAGCGAGGGCTATCAGAAGCAGGGGTGTGGGGGCCAGGCGCGGAAACAGCAGGCGGTCCCCTAGAAAGCCACACTCAGCCTCGTCACCCCTTCTCGCTGCAGCTGTGAGGTGAACGCATGGCTGTGCTCACTCCTTGTATGTCGCAGTGTCTAGAGCTTGCCAACAGTCTGGCACAGGTGTGAAAGACAGGTACCCCTGGCTACCCCCCCTTAAGGGAAATCTTTACCTAAAAAGGTGACATAAAGGACAGGAATGCAAAGGCATGTGGTCACAAGTCACAGTTTTGCCATGACCTGATTTGAGCGTGGCATTTACATTTTTTTTCTACAAACACAACACGCAGAATCCACACCTCCTCCACATTTAAGCACAGACGAGGAAGTTGTGTGAAATGAGTGTGCACCCCTGGACCATCCACTCCCGTCCCCAGTTTACAAAGAAATTTGCTCTGCCTCAGGTCCCACGTGATGGATGACTCACTCTGAAACCAACAAATCACAGGGCCCCTCAGTTTGCAGAACTTGAACGCTTGAAGAGGATGGGTGCCCTGGCCCCGGGAGCTGCAGGAGGGTTCACAAGGACGCACACATGCCTTCGCTGCTCCTTTTGAGTTGAGTAACCTAAGGAGGCGAAGCTAAGAGTCATTTGAACTTGTCTACATGTCGGGCTTGGCTTTTGGTTTTTTCCTGGCCTGGCCGCAAAGCCACACCTTTCTTGGAATGCCAGCCAGCCAGGAGCGAGGCCCGCAGCGCCGACTCGGAAGCAGCCAGGCCACCGGGCGCTGAGGGGCACTCGGGAGTTGGGAGCCCCGCTTTGCTTTTGCTTTGGCAGTCTGCTGCAGTGCAATGGAACCTGGCCCCACTTCGGGCTCCCCTTGGGAAGCCTGGGCTGATGTCAGACTCAGCCACGTTTTCTGATTGGTGAGCAAGAGAACTTGCTCGGGAAAGGTCGTGTCTGCCTCCCGAGCAGCTCTCTGACCCCAGCAAAAGTCATTGCCCTTTCTGGGCTTTTCTTCTCGGGAGGGGATTTCACAACGCACCCAGCCTCCAGGTTGTCAGAAAGAAGAGCATCTGTGTTTTAGCACCTAGCACTGGACACACGAGCACTGCGGGTGAACAAGAACCCCAGCTAGGACGGGAAGGGGCAGGTGCCAGGAAGGGGCACTTGAACTTGAACTTGGTCAGGGGCACTTTGACGTTGGTCACTGTTGAGTTTCTCTGTTAACCTCTAGGACAAATAAGTGAGGGGTATGTGTGTGTGACACACAGAGAGAGAGAGAGAGAGAGAGAGAGAGAGAGAGAGAAGGGCCGGTAGGCGGGGCCACTGTTTAGCCACATGGAGTGCAGGCTTTCCAAATGGGTTTAACTCGTATAAGGGGAAAGACCAGATGAATTTGGACAAATCTTCTGAAGAACAGCTTTCTAAAGACACATTCCGAATGCTTTTGCACTAGCTGCTAAAAGGTAGTACAGGCAGAGAAAGGGCTGCCCAAGTCCTGGCACGCATGCATCCTGTCCGGCCAGGTGCTGCTGGCCACACCCTGAAGCTAGCCAGTTCCCCTACCCCCCCCCCGCAACCCCCCCCCCAAGCCTGCAGACCTCTCTCACCTGCCCAAATAGGACCCCATCAAACAGTGCCCTGACCCCGACCCCCGGCCCCACATCCACCATCGTCTCCTCTGCGTCGGCTCCCTCCAAGGCTGCCAGCACTTCTTTTGCAGGCTGAGTACCAGTCTGCTGCAGGGCCAGACTGCCTGGACTTACCCATCACCCCCCAGCGGCCATTTGGGTCACGGCCACCTTTTCCCGATGCTGCCATGAGCCAGGTGTGCACCCCCATTCCTGCTTTGGATTCTCCCGGGGCGATGAGGGAAGCTGAGGGCCGCCAGGAGGGCCTGGGGGGGCCAGAGGGGTGGTGGTCAGGGTTTCTGCACCCAGCTTCGCTCCTTGCAGGCGTGTTCCTTGAGTCCCTGAGGCTCCACATCCCCGTTGTGTGCGGAACTGTGCCCCACCACACTGGTGTGCCCGAGCTTCCACACGGCGGGCCCCATGCCTAGTGCAGGACCAACAGTGCACAGAGGGGAGCGCCCAGGAGGCGCCCACAGCACTGGCACAGAGGCCCTGGCCTTGTCTGCCTCAGTTCCTGTAAAATGCAGGGGCTGGGCTAGATGAGCACGGCCCCAGCGGCAGGACACGG